ATTATTACTCCTTAAGGGCTTACATTTAGTATATTAGAATTGTATAGTACCTTTTTTGTCCGGTTCCTTGTCAAAATGTGCCTTTTGTTTCAGATTAATCAATTGGCCAAGGTTGGTGGAAACACAGCAAAGGATACTACATACAGAACAATGAACAGGTATAATGATGCAACTGTTTACTTTGATAGTAGCTAGTTGCGGGCACAGTGGTACAGTGATTAGTGCTGCCACCTCACAGTAAGGTCCTGGGTTCGATTCCCAGAATTTTTTGTGTGGGAGGGGTGAATTATCAATAATTATTTTCTCTTTAAATTATCAATAAATATATTATTAGATTAATTATTATTAAGCATTTACTAATAAAATATTTACTTTGCAGATTGTTGAGCAATTCTGTCATGGCCCAGTTCAGTTTTAAAGGAAAGGGTGGAAAGGCCAGTTTCACAGCAACTGAGATCTGTTCAGTGCTAAAAGGTATTTATTCATTTGTGTGTGATCTCTGCCTCATCTAATTTATGACGTTAGTCTCCATTGTATTGCTCAGCACCAGGATTTATGGATCAACAAATTAACAATAAAATGTTTTAGGATCAAACAAGCACAGTCAGCGTTTACATGCACAGTTAAGCCTCGACGGTTATAGCTCAGTTAGGCCAATTAATTGGAATACTGTACTTGACCCAGTATACAACCACAAGAGGGCAATTGTTTTTATTGTTTAAAATATGTCGACTTTACTACCATAGGTGGTGATGTACAGTTATAACTCTTTTCAGCTTATTAGTATTGAGCTTTTTTCTGCTTGGCTAATTGTGTTGCAGACCAAAACAACTGACAAACTTATGACAAACTAGCAAATTGTCTTTGAATTGGGCAACTTTATATCACTTTACATTTTTTTCTTCTGTGTACCGTTTATAACTTCTGGGTAAGAAATGGGGTGCATGCAGTATCTAGTTTAGATTGGGTTCCATGGAATGTATACATGCAGAACTAAATCCATTCCAAACCACATTATCTGGGTAGTCTGACAGTGATTTAGTGCGATTTCCTTTGGACTAACATGTTACATGTGTTTTAAAATACCGGTTGGAGTTAGACTAACATTAACAAACCAAAAAAAAAACACTAACAAATATATAATGTTCTTGGCACTTAAAATGCTCAGTGCCAAAATGTTGTCAATTTATAAAAGTCTGTGGATACTAAGTTATTTATATACTTGTGTAAACATCTTTAAAAATCAGACAACTATCATCCTGAGTGCAAAAGCTTAAAATTGTAACTGTATTTGTCTATTTTGAAAAAGTTATGGATTTCTGTAATAATAATTTTGTGTTATTTTCAGAGGCAATTCTCAAGGCATCAAATGCACAAGAAAAAGAAGTGGAAGATGCTATGCGTGATCACCTTCGTTATGCTCCAGACAGAGCAGGAGGTGGTGGCAGACAAAAAAACTAATTCCAGTTAGGAAAAAACTCTTTGTTTTACATTTTTTTGGTGCTTATTTACATCATTTACTGTTTTAATTGTTGTATTGTTTATATTAACTAATTCTGTTTAAATTTGTTGTATAAACAGTTGAATCTCAAATTCTTATTAAAAGAACATTAATTGTTACTAATGAGTGCATGGTTTTTCCCCCTCCCCCACTTCATATGTTTATAGGGGTTAGGACATTTGTCAAATTTATATGCTCATGCGGCAATGCTCTGATGTTAATTTTAATACACAGGAAACAGAGTTTGAGCAATATAAAAAAATGTTGGAGCAACAGAAAAATGACACTGAGGCAACATTGAACCAATGTGGAAAAATTATGTTGGAGCAATATAAAAAAATCATGTTATTTCATCTTTCAAAACCAACACTCTGATAACGGTTATTCAATGTTGAGCGACAACATTGTAACAACGTGTTCACAGCAACATTGAACCAATGTGGAAAAATTATGTTGGAGCAATATAAAAAAATCATGTTATTTCATCTTTCAAAATCAACACTCTGATAACGGTTATTCAATGTTGAGAGACAACGTTGTAACAACATCTTTACAACACAAAATGCCTGCTGGGTTGTTAGTGTAACATGAAAGTGTTTCAAAGATGTACAGATGTTTTAAAATGTAATATGAAAGTTTTTCAAAGTAAGATGTACAGATGTTTTAAAANTATTCGCGTCTTCATGACATTCAGGCACAGCTTGGTCAGCCCAGTAAAAGATTGCAGCAAGACGTTCCCACCAGGTGGAACAGCACCTACTATATGCTGCGATCGCTGGTGGAACAGAGACGCGCATTGGGGGCATACGCAGCGGAGCAGGAGCTGCCGGCTACACTCAGCGCACAGTATAGAACGTCCTGAAAATGCTTGAGCCTTTTGAGGAACTCACAAAAGAAATTAGCTCCTCGACAGCAACAGCCGCAGACGTCATTCCAGCCATCACTGTTCTTAAACGGCTTTTGGAGAAAAGGACAAATGCAGATCATGGAGTGGGCAAGATAAAAACTACACTGCTGGAGGCAGTTCAGAGAAGATTCGGTGAGATTGAAAAGGAGCCACTATATACTTTGGCCACCATTATTGATCCCAGGTAGGTTAAATAGGCATCTGTTACATAAAGTCTCATAATGATTATTATTATTATTATTATTATTTATTATCATTCATAATATATAACATTATATATGAGTTTTATGTTACCAAACCTTCTTGTCTATTTTTCTGTTTATGCAAAAGGTACAAGAATCGCTACTTTTCAGCAGATGGTAAAGACCAAGTGAAACAAGCACTTTTGGCTACACTGGAGGGGAAGACCAGACAAGACCAGGCCCCCAATGAACCTGTTGCAGAAGCTTCTCCAGTACCTGGTCCTGCCGCAGAAGTGCCTCCTGCCAAAAAGCCATGTAGTCTACTACTTTCAGTTCATGATGAAATACTGAAGGAGAATGCTGAGATAGAGCAGTTGCTGTCCAGCCCCTCATCTGTGCAAGTTCAAAGCTACCTCTCCGAGTTGCCCAGCAGCAGAGGAGAAAATGCTTTGACCTACTGGAGGATCAACAAAGATCGTTACCCTGCACTTGCTCAACTTGCCCAAGCCTATCTCTCTGTTCCATGTACAAGTGTCGAAAGTGAGCGCTTGTTTAGCTTGGCTGGACATGTGGTAGATGAAAGGAGAAAACGATTAACTGGTGACAATGCAGAAATGCTTCTCTTGGTCAAGAAAAACTTGCCTTTAATGTTCAAGTAATAGCATTTAGTACTAGCATTGTTATTTCTACCTGTTTTAAGAGAGTGTACTCTTTGAACATAAGAACATAAGAACTATACAAACGAGAGGAGGCCATTTGGCCCATCGAGCTCGCTTGGGGAGAACTTAACTAATAGCTCAGAGTTGTTAAAATCTTATCTAGCTCTGATTTAAAGGAACCCAAG